TCCCTTGGAGGAGCTGAAGAGCGATGGGAAAGGAGAGCAGCAATGGGTTATTTAATCAAGCTAGCTTAGGCTTTTCTGATTTAGTCACAGGCCTCCCTCTGTAATAAGCATCTCCTCCCGCCTCTAAGGATAACTCTGTATTAAGTGGGTCACCTAATGCCAGCAGAACATAAACAAACAACTTGATAATTCATTTGACTTGTGTAAACATTTCTGTGCAAGACGTCCACCCTCCTTTTCTATGCTCCTTAAAATGAGACAGATAATTTATTTTTTTTTTTTAGAAATTGGTGACTCCAGTCCAATAACTTTCATGTCTAAATCCTTATAATTACATACAGAAACTCACCTCTAGCAGTTTTCAGATACAGTACACAGACTCGCTAAAGCTGGGAAAATTCAATGTTGTGTACGTACATGACTGAAATTATACTTCTTTTCACATCATACTTAGATCAGCAAAGAATAAATCATTTGTGGGAAAACATTAAAAAGGCCAAGATCTTTTGCTGCTATTTCTTTCTTTAGGCAATTTCATAAACGTTACCACCCTGCCTTCATTACACGTTTTCATGAACTTTAGCACCCTGCCTTCATTACACATTTTCCAGGTTCAGTCCCCACATTTCGACTAACTAAAAATCAGCTGCTTGAGAGGAGGATTGTTAAGGTGCTCTCAAAGCGAGGAAAATAATTTTCATTTGGATTAGCAGATAAATAGAAGAAAACTGGTGTCAAAATATACAAGATAAACACACATGAAATAACCGCTTTGCCTATAGCATTCTCATTGGGCCTGAAGTTATTTAATGAATACTTGTATCACATGCAACTGCAAAAGTTACCCATACAGATTTTAAAATGATATAGATACATACTAAACCAAAGTATCAATGTTTATTTGTTATTGTATTGTACACCTGCAAGAAGCAGTTCAGGATATCAACTGAGAATTAAATGCTATAAAACAAGCTATGGACCTTCAGATGTGAAACCGTGGCCGGTCGATGCAGCTCCCCCCTCTACCAACTACTCTTCTACTTGAGGGCAGCACTGAACTTTCTCTAGGCAGCAAGCACCTGCACGCAAGCACAAGAGAAGCTGCTCAGCTTTTCTAGGGCAGCATCCCCTGGCCTGTCAGCTCTTCACCGTTTCTCCTGGGGGGTCATGGTGCAAGACCTTAGGCAAGGCATGTTGTGCAGCCACGGCGTATTGCTCCCTTTCATGCTCAACAGCCCTGCGAAGCGAGCTAGTTCTTTGTAGATTGGGTTACTGATCACAGAAAGCCAAATCGTTAAGTGCACACCTCTTTTTAACCTGCAGAGAGAGTTAAGGACAGAGCAGGCACAAACATTTAATCCCCAGGTATTCTCTCTAATTTGCAGCTGAGGTGCCCTCCCAGAGCATGCTGAGCAAGCCCACATCATCACTGTCTGCGGACAGAGGGCTGGATAGCACCAATACAACACATTATATTCTGCCCTCCTTTGAAAACAACAAAGCCTTTTGAATTTCTACAGCAAAGTATTACTAAGCTTTATAAAGTCCAGACAAATCAAAAGAAATCGAATTTTGCTCTGCTGCTCCGGATCTGCTCTTAAATGAACACGATATTCCAATTACAGTAACACAGATAAAAACCAGCTAAATAACCTAGGCATTTCAGACAGTATCAGCAACAGCTGGATAAAACTTAATTGCAACAGATAATGCCTAGGGATTTCTAATTTAAAATTTCCTGAAGGGAAAAAAAAAAAGCTTTACTGCACATTTATTCTGAAACATCAGTTTCAGAATCAGCTCAGAGGTAAGCCTCCCATTTCTAACAGAAGCTTAATTTCATAAAAGAATTAAAGGATGCTGGTTGGTAGAGTAGTACAAAGTACTTGAGACAGCCAGATATCTAAACGGAGATGGAAGATCTTGTTAGACTTAATGACTTTGCTATTGAGCATCACAATGGCTTTGCAGTCAATTAGTGCAAGTGTGGAATAACTCCTGATGCATTGCTCAGAGGGGCTATACAATCAGAGCAGTTTAAATTCTGTCCAACATCATATCTTCTATGAAAATATTTATATGTAATCCATTTACATATTCTGAGAAAGCACAAAAATTTTATACAAATATTTCATATACCAAATATCTGATAACGAGCTCTTTTCACTGACTACTGAGAGAACTGCGTTGTAATCAGTGCCATAAGCATTACCCGTTACCAACTCCTTTTCAAGCTTACTGCCAATGTTCAGAAAGAAGTGCAGAGCCCTGCACCTGGAGAGGAACAGCCCCATGACCCAGTACATGCTGGCGGCCGACGGTCTGGAAAGCAGTGTGGCAGAAAAGGACTTGGGGGTCCTGGTGGACACCAAGTTAGGCATAAGCCAGCAACGCACCCTCGCAGGAAGGAAGTCCAGCAGCCTCCTGGGCTGCATTGGGAAAAGCATTGCTAACAGGTCAACAGAGGTGATCCTCTTCCTCTACTCAGCACTGGTGAGGCACATCTGGAACGCTGGGTCTAGTTCTGGGCTCCCCAGTACAAGAGAGACATGAGCATACTGGAAAGAGTCCAACAAAGGGCCACAAAGATGACTGAGGGACTGGAGCACCTCCCATATGAGGAAACGCTGAGAGAGCTGGGACTGTTCAGCCTGGAGAAGAGAAGCTTCAGGGGGACCTTATCCATACCCAAAGGGAAGGTGCAAAGACGGCTGAGCCAGGCTCTTTTCAGTGGTACCCAGTCAAAGGACAAGAGGCAATGGGCACAAATTGAAATACAGGAAATTCCATTTAAACATAAGAAAAAAACCTCTTCACTGTGAGGGTGATCAAATACTGGAACAAGCTGCCCAGAGAGGTTGCAGTGTATCCATCCTTGGAGATACTCGAAACCCGACTGGACATGGTCCTGGGCAACCAGCTCTAGGTGATACTGCTTGGAGGAGAGGGGTTTGACTGGACGATCTCAGAGGTGCCTTTCCACCTCCACCGTTCTGTAAGAACGTCTATTACAGCATGTTCTGATTTTCGGTCAATGCAGGGTCCAACTGGAATTTTTTTTTTTTTAACAGTATCACAGCTGCTTCAATTAGCACCTGGATAATTTTTTTGTACCTGCCCACATAACACTAGCAGAGATGGGAAAAATAAGTTCATGGTTGAAAGACAAATTATTTTGTTCTTGTACTGAAATAAGTTAGATGAACCAGCTTTGAAATGCATTACAGTTTTCTATCTGTGGTGCTCTAGAAGCAATTACTAGTCAGTCCATTGTAATTAAATATATCCCCCCCCAGTTTCACCTTTACTATTCTTTTTGCTAAACACATAAGTTTTACAAACAGATGTACACTTCCGAAATTTAAAACAGTGGATGTTGGCACTGTGCAGGTTTTAGATACAACAAAGCCAGCCTGCGAATTCCAGGTCCCTTTATTCCAGGTCCCTTTACATCACAAGTACTGTCTTGCAGACAAGAGACCTATTTAACGTTTGGAGAGAAATCTTCCTTGAAGCTATAGGAGTACTTAGTATGCTGTTAAATATTTATGTAAAATTCCAAGAAAACACGTGCATGAATACAGTGTGGACGTGCGCGAGGACAGTGTGGAGAGCAATGGAAGCCCTGAGCAAGCACAAGACTTGGCTGAGCCGTCACAGCCATTGCTTAAGTGGAATTTGGGAATCACTCGCAGTATATCTTTAGTCAAATTAAAGAACTGCATAAAGCGAATATTCCTGACTCATGCCACAGAAGAAAAAACAAACCCACCAAGAGGCCACAGAGCTAGCAATTTCTTCATGAGCTAAAGAAAAACTCTCCACCCACTTAAAACAAATGAGTGAGGACAGTAAACGAATTAATATTCACACATGCTTATTGTTGCAGCTACACTGGGATGCAGGAAACTGCTCAATTTAGGGATGCTTAATGGCATAAGTGATGACAAATGATGCTTAATGGGAATGAAATGACCTCAGACAAAATCTGACTCGACTTCCAGCATCCCAACATGCTGCGGTGCAGCCACCTAATTATTTTGTGGTACTAACTTCCTGGGGGCAGCAGGACCCCTCTGTCCCCTCAGCTCTCCACACCTCCACTGCTGCTGGCTACAGTACAGCCTGATGAGCTCTACCTTGATCATCTCTTTGCCAGCTGTCTGGCAGTGAAGTGTGTACAAATACTTGAAACTGACGCATCTTTTACAAATGTCAACAGAGCAATCCAAGCAAGAACATTCAAAGGAGTTTTCTTGTCAGATGAAAAAGGTTTCTTGATGGCACTACTCCCTCAGTTCCTCTTTAATAGAAGGCGATTTGATAGATGGGAACTAACCACAGGTTTTTCCCCCCCCCATAATAAATGAAGACTTTTCTTTAGATTTGAAATAACCAACATTTTAATGGCAACCATTCATTTTTCTCAGCTGAAACCCCTATTTTCTCTAGAAACATCTTCAAGCATGCAAGCATTCATCTTCAATGGATGAAACCACTCCACATAGGCTTAACAGAAGAATACAATTTAAAATGCTCTTAAAAAACTGCATTTTATTATAAAATTCAACTATCTGTTTAGCTATACAGAAAAAGCAGTCCCAAAAGTTAAATGTGAAAGAAAATATGTAAAGAAAAGCACACTGAAGTACAAAAGATCATGCAAAAATTTAAGCAAGGCAGGCATTCAAACCACACCTGTAATACATGAAAAATTAAGACAGCAATTTTCACCGCTGTTTTTTCAAACACAATCTTCTTAGAAAAAAGGCCTTGGCTCCTGCACGGCAAGCAGCATCGCTTTGTCGTCTAAATTCTCGGGCTCAGTGGGTTTAAATATTAAACTCTTCTCATGCTGGCAGAGAGGGTGTGTCTGTATTAAGGCTGAGCCACTTTCTTCTCTACCTCCCAGGCCAGCACTGTCACTGCACATGCTGTTCCCGTCGGCTAGTACAATTCCTTGGCCTCGTATGAACTAGGCACAAAAGCATTTTTACTTTGTGGCCCCGCGGCTCTTCCCATCTCCAGCTCTGCCACATTGTCCTGGAGCACTGAACTACCGCAAGCAGAGGCTGCCATCGCCAATACCAACTGCCCGCCCTCTGGGGAAAAAGGTGGCATGTTTTGGTGGAAAGCAAAGAAAAAAAGCATTAGAAGGAGTTCTCTAGTCTCTCAGGAGTCCTAATCGTATCACTAGCTGCTAAATTAAAGACTGGTTTTGCTGAGTATTTTTATCCCTCAAAATTAATTTACAGCACATCTGCCACAGTAGGGTATACCATTTCCCTAAAGAAAAATCGGTATTTTTATTGTGCAATTGGCTCTTCGATGGCACACACATTATATATAAAGCATTCGTGCACAAACAGTTCATTCTGCCCTTGTTATTTTCCCTGTCATAGCATGAGTATTTTTAGCCCTCATGTGATCCTCCAGTATTTTCCAACTCTGCTTTAGTCATCCTGCTCTCACTGAATATTTCAAACTAAAACGTCTAACAGCCTTCAGATCTAAGAACCTCTCCCATTTTTAGGTTACATGTAAATAATTTTATTAAGCTTTTACTCGTGTATTTTTGATACCCCACACCCATACACAAAGCAGTGCTCCATGGAGATTTGCTCTGACACACAGGAATACTTACACAGGGCACTAAGCTAAAATCCTGACAACCTGATCACCATTTTCAATTTGATCAGATGAAGATTTTTCTGCTATTTTCCACAGGGAGCATTAGAACTGGCACAAACAACAGTGCCCTAATATTTTAATCCCTTACCATAATTTTGACTCTACATCGGTAGGCTGTTTACCACTGCATTAGAGAAGAGCCGAGGCTGTAGGAGATCGAAAGGCGGCTCAGGGCTGGCAGATGGCGTTGTATCTAAAAGCAGCTGTGGTGCTGTTGGCAGAGAGCCTGCAGCGGTGGTCTGTGCTGCTGGCTCCACTCCTCGAAGGATGAAAACATACTCGTTCCCCCAGCAGGGAGCTGCATTTACCTGGCAAATCCTTGCTGCTCCTACTATTTCCAGAAGAAGCCTTTTACATGGGTTACCGAAGCCATCCACCCTCCATACAGCCATCAGCTCGGCAACAAATTGGCTCCGTCTCTCAAGGAAGCGACGAGGCAATGCGAGGGTGGCACAGCAGATCAGTTGTAGGGACCTATTTACGCTTCCATTTCTGAGATGCATTATCCTTGACCTGTGCCGACTCCTCAGTCGGATTGCCTTTGGGAGGGGTAGGGCCGTGGCTGTTGGACTGCTCCCCAGTTGTTGCATTTTCAGATTTCTCGAGTTTCGGTTTGTTTTAAAAGCATTTTTAAAAATGAAATAAAGACCACACTCGGCATTTGCAGAGATATAGGTGAATACCCACGTATAGGTATGGAAAGCAACTACCTGATACCATGGGTCTTGTCAAGCTTTAGTGTCAGATTAAAATACCAAAAATAATTCTAACTCATGGCAACTATCTTTTTGGGTAAGCTTTCAGAGCAGGCTTTAGGGATTTGACCCCTTTCTTGTTAATTGAAAGACACATCTTAGTCTACCTCTGAAAATACAGAGTTAGAACAGAGTGTTATAAAGTAGTTATGAATAATTGAAGAGATCGGCACCTCCTAAATCACTCAAAACCAAAACTCTGGCAAAGGGCACTGGAAGAGTTATTCCGTGGAACAACAGGAATCATCTGAAACACATACGAAATTACTAGTAGCTAAATAAATTATTACTTTAGAAATTTATGTATTTGATCAATTTAGAATAGGCAGATTTAAAGGTCTGTCAAAACCAAAAATCTAGTGTGAATGAGTACCCATATGTCTACTTGCTCCTGACACTAAACAATAAGTGCATACATTTGTGTATGTCCGCTGCACACTGTTTAAAAACTTTTGGATTATGTTGAAAGATCCTCTGGGTTCTTTATTTTCTCTCACTATTGCTTCTTTTTGTTTCATTAATGAACTGAAACAAGACAGTCCTAAAATTTCAATGCTTCAGTGTTAACATACAACAAATCACACAAATTAAAAGTGACATTAAAAAAAGAAAATGTACAAAAAAGAGGCAAGCTACTGTAGCAAACTGCTACAGATGCTGGCATTGCTTGCTTGCACTGGTGTAAAAGGTTATTGCATCAAGCAGCCCACACTGTTTACTGCTCCCACAACAAAGTCAGTGGAAGTATAAGCCGTGCCCAAAACCTCAGCCATTTCACTGAAGACCCAAGAATGTCAAATAACAAAATAATCAACATAAAAGTTATAGATAGCAGTTTAAACTATGCCACCTGATGTTGCACTTACTCGTGGGCATGTATTCCCTCTTTGTGCTTGTATCATCAAGGAAGACAAAACTCCAGATGGGGTGGGGAATTCTTAACCTTATCTTGAGATAACGTTATTCATGAGACCTTATCTTTTTTGCCTTTTTAGTATAAATGGCTAAGCTTGTTTTACTCACGTGGGCACATTATGGTTCCTGTAACAACTGTAGTGAATACTCCTTCATTTCCAGTTAAGTGTGCATGAGCATGCACAGACACACACACACACCCCAGAGGTACAGAAGCACATCTTTCATGGTAATTTCCCAACTACCCAGGATTTGCTTCCACATCATCCCAATTTACTCCCAAACAGCAGGAGATGAGGCACACACAAGCTTGCAGATGCATACGGCACTCCTCCCAGAGTGTCCTCTATCAACAGGCACCCAGTAAGGGCTCCCATCCTTTCAAGCAATCAGGCTACATGATACGGTGAGGTGAAGCACAAAGGCACAATACACGGGTGAAATGAAAACGTGCTCGCCCAGAAATTGAATAAACCTATGAATGACTGACACCTAAATGAAATAGTCCTGTTCTAAAACGCAGGCAGCAATACATGCTCTGTATTGACTGACACCTCTCATTTCACCTAGCATCATGTAATGTCTACACCCCCCTCCCAGCTCAGCAAAAATTAAACTAGTGTCCTGCCTGTCATACTTCTGGACAATATTTAAGTTAATAACGAAGGAAGCTTTCCACAAAAAAAGCTAATTTCCACAGCCACAGAATCTTACCAAAGATCATTACACTATATCTCAGTTGTCCTATTCCATACAAGGGCTGAGAAGGCACGGAACATGTGCTTCATACAACCAGCAACACGACACGAGATCACTGCATTATCCTCCATATCAGCTGGCTGGTTCCACTCCAGTAGCTATTCTATTTCTCTAGGATTGTCACCTCCACAACTTTAATTTGGATGACACATTTGTGACTTTGGTACAAACAGACCATCTGCAAGAAGAATTAACAAGCATGGTAAAGTCTGTATTTAATAAAAGTGTCTTTTCTAATTTCTCAATTGGATAACACCATGACATTAGCACTTGGTTTTTCTTGTTTTTAAAGGGCGTGCAAGACATCACATGGGAAATTATAGCATACCAGGCCCTGAAATTCAAAAGTTTAGACACAAGATGGTGCAAAACAAAGATGTAAACAAGCTTTAAAAGCCCAGAGCAGCACTGGCCTGCTATTAGGTGCTCAATTTCCTGGAAGCACTAATGAGCTGAAGGCAGCTGGCCAAGTATGTCCCACTTTGACGTCAGAAGTGATTAGAGGAGCACACTGAAATCTGGATATGATTCCAGAGCATAAGCCACCCTAAAACAGAGAGTGCCTCATACCTACCCCTTCCCTTTGCCAGCACTGGTACATATCTGAGCCCATGAGAAGACAGGTCACAGAATTAAGCCAAGTGAAAATTAATCATTATTTCAGGACTGGGTTAGCATGAATAAAGTAAACCCAGGACAGAACAATAAAGGAATTAAGTGTGGGTGCATGTGTGTTTCTGCACGCACAAACCTATATACATACAGAACCAACCTCAGTAACACTCGTTTGGTGATTTTTTTTTTTTTTTTTTTTTAAAATGTTAGCTGCTCTCCTGTTCACTTAACTCTCACTTAGCAAAAAATGGCATCCGCTTAGTGACCAGTCATGCCCATATTACATAAACACCAAAGATCAGGCTTAGTCCTTTGGCCTGTTCCAGAAACACTGTCATGGTTTAACCCCAGCAGGCAGCTGAGCCCCACGCAGCTGCTCACTCATTCTCCGCCCCCTACCCCCCCCGGTGGGATGGGGGAGAGAATTGGAAGAGTAGAAGTAAGAAAATTCATGGGTTGAGATAAAGACAGTTTAATAGGTAAAGCAAAAGCCGTGCGTGCAAGCAAAGCAAAACAAGGAATTCATTCACTACTTCCCATCGGCAGGCAGGTGTTCAGCCATCCCCAGGAAAGCAGGGCTCCATCATGCCTAACGGTTACTTGGGAAGACAAACGCCATCACTCCAAACATGCCCCCCTTCCTTCTTCTTCCCCCAGCTTTATGTGCTGAGCATGACGTCATATGGTGTGGAATATCCCTTTGGTCAGTTGGGGTCAGCTGTCCCGGCTGTGTCCCCTCCCAACGTCTTGTGCACCCCCAGCCTACTCACTAGCAAGGCAGCCTGAGAAACAAGAAAGGCCTTGACACTGTGCAAGCACTGTTCAGCAATAGCTAACTAAGACATCCCTGTGTTATCAACACTGTTTTCATCACAAACCCAAAACATAGCACCATACAATCTCCTATGAAGAAAATTAACTCTATCCTAGCAAAACCCAGTGTAAACACAAAATAAAAAGTTAGAAGACAGAGGTATCTGAGAAAGAGCAATAGTTGTATGTTGCTCACTTAAGAGGACTAGCGTACCTAAACAATAAGCACATATAAAACCACAAATCAGTTCATTTTTTCCTTCTGGTGAGCCCTTAAGATTTGGAAGCATTTCACTCACCGTAAAAATTAATTTAAAAAAAAAAAAAAAAAAAAGACATCAGCGTGTGCTAGCAATTTCCCGTAATGATAGAGGTGTGAGAGAAACACACTTCACCTAATGTTCTTGAATGCACTTACACACACCACATTTATCGACAAGAAGGTTAACTGCCTTTGTCTCCACCATCAGACATCACTAGAATCTACATCATTTACATCAAGGGTTCAGTGGGGGAGACCCTACGCCTGATAGGGCTGGGCCAAACCAGAGTGCACCACAAGAAGTTAACTTCTGCTGTCTCAGATGCTAAGCCTATGACAAGGCAAAAAGAATGGCCCACCCACACAAGGAAATAATTTTTAACTAGTATTTATGTAAAATGGATCACAGTTTATGATAGTCTTCAGAGACAGAAATGGAATTCTTGAAGATGCAAAATACCTGCAGTCGGAGAGTTTGCATGGTGAGACTTTTTGGGCAGGTTGAAGATTTGTTCACCAGGATCTGGTGGGGGAAGAGCATCTTGGCCTTGTCGAGCTTCCACAGGATCATACTCCTTCCCATCATAGTTAGCATCAAAGAACTTCTTAAACCACTGAATGAAATCTAAGTTGTCTTGGAAGCGCCCTTTGACCAGTTTTTCCACGGGAATTACCTGAAAGGTAGAATAAAGGTTCCAATAATATATCACTGCCATTTATAAATAAAAACATTTACATATACACATGCACACTTATTTGAAAAAATCTACTAACTGTATCAGCCTATATTCCTCTGCCATTGTTTTCTTTCTAAAAGAAAGGAAATTATGGTAGATCTGGAAGGGCTCTTAATAAGAAATAAAACCAAAATAAAACAAAGACCCAGCCTTTGAAGTGGCTATACAGTGGGTGTATGTAAGCCTTTATAACTGCTCTTCCACAGAGTTACTCCTTTCTTATTGCCGTGACAGCCATGATGAATGAAGCTGTTCTGGGAGTAACACTATATTCAACTAACTAGGGATTTCTGTTTTTAATGGACATGCTACAGTTGGGTATACTAAAAATGAACAGTTCTTCAAAA